CTATTTATTACGAAATGTTCACAAGAAACAAGGTATGTTTTGGAGATTGAATGATCCTAACTTCGTAACTTTCTTTAAACGGAGTATAGTATTTCCAGGGCTCTCCTTAAACTCCTCGTTAAAAGAAAGGCCCCATTTCTCACTATTTATTTTTAAAGTCACTCGAGTTTCCAGAATACAAAATGGTCATGAGTTTGCAAATTTGCATTGATTATCCAGAGCTCAAATTAGGTACCTTCGATACACCATATTTTTGAACAAGCTATAGAGCAGCTACTGCATTTTCAAAGAGTTAGACTACTGTAATAATTTTTTCACCATCTCTGGTCACAAACAGTCATTCAAGTGATTTATTGCACTATCAAAGAGATCCTAAGAAGTTATGGATAACTTTGAAAATGATTCACAGCATGTGCTTCGTAAAATCTCCTCAACCCCTTCATGAAAATGGTGGTCTTTTTATGGATGAGCAAAGTAGAATAGATCATTCGACTCAAGCAACAAGCTTTATAAGTTATTTATCTAAGTTCTTTATGGTGCGATGGAGCTAGTTAGGGGGAGGATGGGGTTGCCGAACCACTGGAATCTGAAGCATTCTAGAAAACTAATATTCTTTTGATGATTCACAATCATTATTCACAAAATAAAGGCAGAAATCAAAAATCATTTGCAAAGAGAAGCACTCACACTTTTGAAAAGATTCAATCAAATCTGCATTCACTCAAGCAAACTTTTTGTTGATCTGCAAACGCGCATTCACCAGGTAAGAAGGTCATGACTATAATTACTAGTTTTTGAGCAGAAAAGCCTAAAAACGAAGAAAGCCAAAAAAGCAACTAAACAAAGCCTGGCCTCTTAGTGCTCTCTGGAAAATGTGCATTCGCACACTTCAGCAAAAAACATGCATTTCTTCAATGAAAAAGGATTTCTTGCTGGAATTTCTAGCAACTACGCTTACTACAACTAAACGTCTAACTTTGTTCAGAGGTCTTCTTGTCTGTGAGAAGATCTGGATGGAATTCCAAGGTGGTTACAACTTACAATTACACCTTTTTGGTTAGAATTGTATTGTAGCACAAGGTTTTCACGACATTCAATTGAATAAATAAACAGCGCACACAGAACAAGCTAGTGCTGCTTTCAACCCCTCTACTGTAAGCTTATCGTAGGATAAGATGGAGTGATTCAACTTTTGCGTTCAGACAAACTTTCGAGAATACGTCCAGATACGCTGTGTCATTTCTAATCTTGTCCATCTTCTTGCACGAAGGAATGATGGACATTCATATCCACTCTGGTCCCATTATGGTAATCACATTCAAGACATATTGAATTATGGCACCATCTTCCACAATAACAAGGCCACGACCACGCCCGAGTAGGCGTGATGATGCAGCTTGCTTGTCATTTAGAAAGGCATCTTTCATCTTTTTTTTTTTCGTAAGAAAGTTACATTTTGAAAGGATGCGGAGGACATGAGTCTCATTATGTGTTGCAATAGCATACGATATATAACTGCTTGCTGCGACAGGCAGTAGCTTGAAAAAACAAACAAAATTGCTATTGAAAATGCCTTCTTAATCGCTTCCTACCTCCCATGTCTGTCCTCCGTACTATTAGACTCTAAAGGCATTTCTTATTGTTCAGCCAAGGTTCGTACTCTGAAGCTTTCGCTGGGAGTAGTTTGAGATAAAAGAAACTTGCAGTTTCCGTAAAATTAACGTTGACCTACCAATTCATCCTTAGCCCGAAGTTATTATGGCTATTAATTGAAAAATTTCCCTCTCCTTGTAAATGAACTAGAAATTGTGTTTTGTACTGCCTTTGCCTCTGCAGATTTCAATTTTTAGTTCCGTTTAGGACCTTTTATACTTGCCCTAGGCTTCTCAATGTTATTCGACGAAGGGACGACGTGTAAGGATCCCAGGGAAAAGGGAAAACTGATCCGAGCTCGAGAAAAACATAGGGCTTGGCCATTTGGCCTCTATATCGTAGGATGAGCCGCTGCTAAGTAACCATGCATTTTTTATGATTGAAATATGAGATGAACATCTACCTAGTTTATAATTTACATAAAGTCATCATTCTTAGGGTTCTCTTTTCTATTCTATAAAACTCTGAACATCTATCACAAAGTAAATTTTTTTTGAGTCTCTAAATTCCAAATTTTCAAGATTTAGGGATTCCGGAATAAATCCACTGCCCCTGGTCTTAAAAAAAAATTCAGAATTTGCGATTGGAGTTTCTAGCCTTTGAACCAAATTTTGTGCTATTTTTGTTTGAAACGCATGCTAGGATTATTAAACCATGATTTTTCCTCTCTGTATTTGAACTGAAACTAGATTTGACTATCGAAAATTGCTTTACGCGTCATGGCTGAAAAAATTGTTTGAATTATTTTTTTGTGCAAGGAATGTGTTGCGAAGACTAGGCGCGGCACCACACATATTAAATGGCAAAAAATGGAGAAACCTTCGCTTCACACTTAGAGAGTTGCCCTTTTATCTCAAAAAAAGAGAATAATTGGCATCCTTAATTTTTTCTAAAAACTAATGAAGCTTCACGCTTAAAGCCGATGTATCCGTTTTAATGCGCTGATTGTTGGCAATGCCGTCACAAATTGGACTCGTTTCATCCTACGCACCGCATCCGCGACAAGCTGCCGACAAGCTCCTCCATCATTTTTGTTTTTCTGTCTTTCCGAGATGCTCACGGCTCGGTTTATAGCATTGTTAATGTGCTTATATGTAGTGAGGAATCTTCGTCTTCCATTCGCCATCTGCTATGCTCCTCTTCGTGAAAGCATTCATTAACATTAGTGTCGTAAAATTCGTTCTTCTCTCACGTTCCATATATTTTTTAGTTAAATATTGTATTTGTTAGGTTGCAGCACTTGTCTTGCAAAACAAAAAAAAGGTCTGAGGATGTACGAAGATGGTTCTCTTGTCTATATACTTTTTGTCATAGATAACAGGTGTTATACTTAATCAGATTTATATATTATTCATTCTATAACTAGGAGAAGCGAGACTGCATTGCACATATTGTCTAAACAAGCCTAATCGTGTACTTATCGGATTTATACTTGTCATTTATCTCGTCCAGGTTTATTCACTTTTTGGAAACAGGGAAGAACAGACTCAAACATGTTAGGACAATGTCCGCAATGCGGTCACGCGTCTCCTAGTCATAGAATAGATGATAAATACTAGTTCTATCTCTTTTGAAAATTACAGATGTCCGCAGAAACATTCATTTTATTACCAATGAGTAAGTCACATAATGAAACTAAAATTAATAAATGATCTGTTTACAAAAATTTTCAGCCTATATTCTTTTTTTTTCGTGACATACCACACGGGTCAGTTCAATAGTCACTATAGCCGCGAAATGCAGAAAATAATTTTTTTTTCGTTTTGAGCGTCGTTGAATCAGAAAAGCGCATAATTCTTCCCTACGCACTAAATAACAGGCGTATTCGTTAAAACTAAAAGAAATTACGCATAATTGGTACAAAATTTATATTCCTAGCTAACACATACATGTGCAATGATTAAGCTAAGGTTGGAAAATGGAGAAAAAATACTGCATATCGCTTTCTCCTTCGCAAATGATTCTATTGCATAATCTTTTAGAGTTTTGTCTTCAAATTATCCTGGAAACCATATGCGCAGCAGTTCTCAAAACATTTCCTTGTGCAAAATATTCGGCGCTGAACAAAATAAGTGTTAATTTCTGAAATTGAGAAAAAAAGTGCAGTTTACGCGGACATGTTCTAGGATAAGCATAGGTTTTGAGTGCATTCGTTTCGCTCGCTTCTTTCCCTCCTCTTCTCCCTTTTGGGCTGACAAAGTATTGTGTCAATATAGTTCTGCAAGAGCAGAGAAACTCATGACATCGTCATGGAGACAAGATCTTCAACTCAGTAAAAATCTGAGATTTTTTATTATAAAGCATACTCATTTCGTTTTCACTGTACTGCAACAACCAAATTAGCTTCGTTTTTATCTTATGCCGAAGGAATATCAGAAATTCTCAACATGCACATCTTCCCATCTTCTCTATGGCTATCGACGCTTCTATCCCATTGCTCCGGTTGCTAATATGAAAATTGCCCAGCTGTCCAGTCGAGTTAGGCTAGCTCCCGGTGCGAAGTAGGTTCATAGGGGCTCAAGCCAGTTACGGGCACAGCCCACCACTTCCGAAAAATTTCAGTTTCCAAGCACTTTTTTGTGTGATGTTCAAATATTAAAAAAATGGCCCTGTTATTTCAGTTTTCTTTTTCTGTTATCCTGACAACATCACAACCTTTCTCATATTCCGAAGCTTCGAAAACTCCGTTCCCACTAGCCTATACTCGTTCCCGATATTCTTTATTGTTTCTGAGTGCTAGAGAAGTACTCAAAGCCATTATTGCTAACAATTTCGTTGGCCGTAATACTGCAACGGCGCTGAGTTATGAGCATAATTATAAGCTAGAAAATCTGCTCGTTGCATCTCATGACTCTCTCTCTCGCAATTCTTTCAGTCTCGTCTCAAGAATTCGCACAGCTCTTGCATCCCCTATGTGCACAACGTCTCTCATCATTTTTTTCCGATTTGAGAAACATTCACTTATGTAAACAATCTTAATGGTTTCGTGCAATCGTTCTTTTCGCTTCTCTATTATGTTGAAGACAATGGATCGGCAAAATGGACCCTTCTCGGATTTTGATGGGGTTAGATAGTAGACCCCCACTACACTGTAACCCAAACCCCACCTGCCAATCCATGCGCTATATCCTAAAAAGCCGCTTCAAAACTCCTATTGAGTGAATACTGCGGAGCTTTGAAGCGCATTTCTCATGATTTAGCGCATCAATTGGCAGTTGGGGTTTGGACTACAATGTATTGAGGATCTACTAACTAAACCCACCAAAATCGGAAAAGGGCCCAATTCGCCGATCCACTGCCTTTAAACTCGTATTTTCTACTGCAGTGATATTGTTCAATATTACAGTATGCATTTATGTGAAAGGCAATCGAATTTAACTCGAAGAGCTTGTTGTCAACTTGTTTTATTGCTGAATGATACTACAAAGGTGCGTGATAAGTTTTGCAAGTATTGAGATAATTTTTTCAACCCCTTGTGGTCATTTCCTTGATCATTTGCACAAATCAAATGACTATTCCCTTTCGCATGCAAGCAGGAGAGTGCAATCAGCGACGTCTTTCAAAAAATTTTTGGTAGCCTCTTAAAAATCTGGCGGACATATAAACTCGATTTCTCCGTTTTTCTTTTTGAAAAAGTTCCGAATTTTTGAAAAATTTTAGAAAGTATTTCGATTGATCACAAGTAAAAACAAGTCATTTGCTCAATTTTTTATACCTCATGTGGGACATTAGAGTTCGCGACCCATTTTTAGAGGGGGTGGGAATCATATACAGTCCATTCCAACTCAGAACAGGTCAAATGGCATGACCGCGTCCGTTTCACAAAGGTAAGGTCGCAGCGCATCAGCAGTTGTACTATCCTTTGATTCAAAGGGCTTGGAGGCTTGAAGGCGGGGCTTTGTGACCTAGTTAATGCTGGGGAATGATCAGAGAGCACACGCGCAAGAGAGACGCATACCGCGTAGCGGGCGCGAGCGGCCTTAGTTAGGTCACAAAGCCCCGCGTTCCAGCCGCCAGCCAGCTAATCAAAGGTTACATCATGATGGAACCGTGTCTGTGCTTCCACACTCTTTCGATCTTGATTGGCAAACGCAATGCTGTGCGCTCGCATTCGAGCAAAGCAGACGTCACTCTACTTCAGATTGCACACTTAGGATGGGTTGAAATGGACTGTATGCTGACTTATTTCGTGAACTCCACATTCTATCAACAGATGCACAGTATTAGCTGTCTAAAACAGCCAACAAAGAACAGCTTCTCTAACGTTTTTTTCAAAAGCGTAATATGATCCGCATCATGTCAGACTATATTTACACATCAAACGCAGCTTCACAGCAGAGTTATGTTTTAGCTAGCTCCAGTTTCAGCGCAGTTACATATCAATTTGTAGTTTGTCTATTCATCCAGTTCTTTTCATAGTCCCGCTTTCTTTGATAAAAAAAAAACAAGAACTTTTAAGAACACGAGGACTACCATAAAAGCAAATCCCGTAAGGGAAGCTCTAATACTCTACTACTGTTGGTTTACTATTTTAGGTACCCTTCTGCAACGAGTTATTAACACAGAACTACAGCGATTATACAGTAAGTGCTGACAAGAGACTGACAACGACTCTTAACCAAAAGACTTTAGTTCTATTCACCGCCAGTCTTTCTGGATGAACCGGCAGATGTACGAGAAGATCATGTAACATTCTTATTGGGTATAATGGTGCTTATGTTGGTCGCATGTGGTTGCATTTTCACGCTCAGTCGTCTCACAAAACCTAGGTTTGCTTTGTTAATAGCATGTTTTTGTACTTAGGGTTCCTTCTGACTTCCGACCGAACGACTACTTGAAGTTCCTTTGATTCAGATTCCGCATCAATTACGGAACAATTTCAAACTATGACTTCATGATGTGGATGCCTACAAAAGCAAATAGGAGGTGAGACGGTAAATGGTGATTACATAAGAAGCGTGCTGTGCTATACATAAAAGGGGTAGAAAAGCGTGGGATAATACGCTTTGTTTCAACGAGATTGGCGGCTCTAAGGCGGGGTTTCGAGACCTGGTCGAGGCCAGGAGTGATCGGAGAGCATACTCGCGAGAGAGACGCAGACTGCGTCGCGGGTGCGAGCAATTGCCTGCTAGCCGCCAACCCCGTTGAATCAAAGGGTACCATCCGTCTCCGCGACCTGTTGCCTGCTTATGCGGCTTACACTCGTGCGGCCGCTTCGCCTAGATCTTGCACCACGTCTGCGACGTATCCTCTGGTCTTAACCCACGCCTGACAGACTAATGCAACTGGCGAGCGTGGAAAAATGCCCAGAGGAGTACGCAAACGCGGCGGTATCCAAGCAAGACGGTCTTGAGATTGAAGCTGCTTGAGTCGGCGCCACTGCCATTCAGACAGAGGGTAGACTATGTGACAGTAAATAGGTATGCCTGCGGTGCCGACATTTGCCAACTACATTTGCGCGTGAACAAATTGCTACCATTTTAACGTGGATTTTTCAGGTCGTCAGTAATGGTACTTTTACGAGGTATGACGTGCCGACGGACACCAAATAATCGCAGTTCTAACATAAGCGTAGTCTCGTCAAACATAGGGTATGCGCAAAGCGAGGACCAAGCAACAAGGGCTCATTACATTGTGCACTAAACCTATTTTTTACAGATTACTACCATCTTACCAAACCGCCACCTCCACACCAACATCTGCGCTATCATCCTTTCCACCACCGCCCTATGCCGAGACGCAGAGACTGACAGAAGAAAATCAATCTCTTTAGAAGAGCGTGTCATGCTAAGCAAATTTATAGAGCTCAAAGGTTGCTAGGAAATTTCGAAGACTGCATCCGTCCACTGAAACTTTCGTTACCTCGTTTTGTTAGTTGAGAATTTGTATATGAAGCCCTTCAAACTTATGATGTTAAGAAGGAATCCAGCAAAAGGAAAATAAGATTTGCCGAAAAAGCAGAATTAACACTGCGCAAATACGCCCTTATAAATGAGCATCTATTTTATGGTGTGTGGACCAATGCCGAAACTTCAAAAACAATGCTGTTCGATACTCAAATATTCAAGGACTAGGGATGATAGCCATCTCTCACCATTAAACCCAACTTATCACTGATTCAGCAAGAATAGATTATTCATACCAAAATTATTACTAAAAGTAAAGCAAAAAAGCTAGTCTTTCTCTTTAGACAGGATATGATATAGTTAACTATAAAATTCGGCTTCTTACTTCTTCTCGTCAGAAAGTCTGTGCCGCGTTTCGGTCGAAAGCGCAACTGGCGACGATGTTCTTTTGCGCTTGGTGTCACCAGTACTGTCGGAAGACATCTGGAGAAACTGCATTTTATTGCACAATTACGTTCAGAAAAAAAAGGAAACGTGCATTTTATAAAAAGCACGGCGTCCTGCGTGGCTCCAACACGGTCAGCCTATGCAACTACAGATTGAGACTTGACACTGTAAAGCCGCTGCATGACCAAGGCGCACAAGCAGCATTAGTTGAGCGAGCGCAAACGTTGCGCGCGTGTATCTTCACCATTGTTTTCCTGCGCCTCATGCGCTCTGCGGCTGATGAAACCGCTTCGCGCCCGAAGATCTTGCGCCTTCGTCATCCAGCAGCCTATATATGGTCCGTCTTGGTACCCTGTCGCTGGCTCGTGGACCCGCATTAATGAGTCGCATGAACCTGCATCGCGTCTGCGACGTAAAGGCATTTTTCAACACCAGCCTTTTGCCGAAGCGAGGGAAATGCCTAGAGGACATCACAGACGGGCGCTGAGCCCAAGCGAGCGGCCGCACTCGAGCCGCACAAGTCGGCGACCCTGTCATTGAAACAGGTACATATAGTCGACTGCACGGACTGGCTGCAGTCATAGGAATGACAAGTAAAGCCTACTGCATACAGTTTAGTAGGTTTTGAGAGCAGCGTGAGGCACTGCACTACCACCGATTTGGCTGAATTTGGCATACGGATAATTCAAGCACCTGTACACGAGCACTGCATTGCGCAAAACAAGCGACTTTTGATCACTCTTATTCCTCTTCAAACCGCTTAAATTCTGGATAGAGGTGGACACACTGAAACCGTGTAAGCTATGAAAATGCGCATCCGTGTCCATCTACGCGCAAACTACGATTATAATCTCACTAAGGACTCAACGTAAAGGTTTGCAACTAACAATATGTTAGAGTATCGGTGAGCTCAAGCTAGCAGCTTCAATTACGATATGTACCGCGTCCACTTTTTTCTTAAGTTATGAAGCAAAAAACTAACTTGAGAAGAACAAAAAAAAAATAAAGATAAGCAAAAGCGACTAGAATAAATATACAGTGGACACACAAACCAAGACTGAAGTAAAACTCACATTGTTCTCCCTAGATAATCTACCACGGTTGCGATTTTCCTGATCCGCTGCTTCTCGGCGTTGTCTCCTCGTAAAAGGTATTGATGAACGAGACATGAGACGCTCATCGTCCTTTATTTTTCGATTCAACATTTCTGGAGTTGCTTTGGATGGTGTAACTGACATTGCTGAACGATCCCAACCTGAATATACAAGCGTCAATTTGATATAGGTTTGATCCCAAGGGAATGAGAAATTAGGAAGAAGGGAACAATAACCAAAATCGCACATGCTTACCACTGAGAACACTTCCATAAAACGAAGTGCTGAGCAGTTCTCCTTCAAACTTATACAACTGGTCTTCGAGAAGCTGGAGTACATTCTAGAACGCAAAGATAGAATAACAAAACAGTACACGGTTGAAGGAAGTCAAAATGCGAAGGCGAACAGAGACTAGTCGTCGCACGCAGAGACAGACGTCATTGCGGACGCTGCCGGTAGACAAATGCACCCTTATCCCTCCTACCGTCTACCTCTCCTTTGAAAGCAAACTTTCCTAGTCCGTAGTGAAGTCTATTTCTCACGTGCCATCTCCCCTAGACGTACAGGGACGTACAGCTATGTGTCTGTATACTCCGGGTGAGAAAAGATTACCGAAAAAAGGAAAGCTTCACCTCCACATCCTCTCGTTGCTTCAACAACTCGTTCAGTTTTTCATCACCTTCACTTTGGTTGCTCCCCGCCATTCAATTGTTGCACAGCCGACAAAAAACTGAAAAGGAAATTTTAGTTTTGATGGACGCACAAGCAGTTTTTGCGTTCATAGGCACCCGCCATACTTGATCTGCTTAATCCACTTGATCCGCTTGATCCGCTTCGCCAGTGGTCAATTCAGTGAACTGACGAAGCGGATCAAGCGGATCAAGTGGATTAAGCGGATCAAGTACATATGGCGCGTGCCATACGGGTAGAGGACCATATGTCGCCGAAATGGGGCGGCCCTCCGCAGTCATCTGCAACAAATATGCACCCGCTCACATGCATGAAGGTGCCTGCAGGGAGTCCGCGCGGGACCTTCCTACATTCGGCGATATATAGTCCTCTACCCCGCTCATACTGACCCGGAAGTCCGGTAACAGTTTAATTAATTAACAGCACAGCGCTTGAAATGAGCGCTGTGCTGGAACTGTTTCCGGACATCGGGATCAGTACGAACGCAGTCTTTGAGAGATTGAGCACTGATACTGCGCCTCGTAGAGAGGCCGCGATTGTCGCAGATTGTGCCAGGACCACTTGTACCAGGATGCAATCGCAATCTGGATTCGCATTGTTTGCGATCTGAGCTTGTGCGTTTGCAATGCGTCTGCATATCTATCTAACACCTATCCCCTATCTGAAGATCGTAATTGCAGCCGTTGCAATTGTTGGCGGCTTCCCGTCAGGAGACACACGCGCAATCCGCGCTCAAATTTTGTGCCCCACTCTCGAGAACTCTTCGGTGCTAAAGGAATAGAAAAAACGATGTCGCCAGCAAACTCCACCCACGCAAATCTAACACGAGCTGTGATGGAGAGAAGCGCGCATTTGTTACACCGTTGTTGCAGATCTGCGGCATACCACCCTTTCGGCGACCTTATGTCTTCTACCCGTGTTCAAGTGGCACGGCGGCAAACTAGTGGTAGGGGGACGGGATAGTGGACAAATGCGCAAAGCCGTTCTATAAAGGCAATGTTCGGGCAGGTTCTCCACTTCCATTTTTACATGTTTGAGGCCTTTTCGTCACACAAAACCCGAATACGCTTTTAAGGCAGTGTCCAGGCAAATCTGGGCGCATGGGTTTTTCTGCTTGGAGGCGGACGAGGGGATCCTAGCCAAGGCACTGCCCAAATGGTAGCGCAAATCATTTATTCACGGCTGAGAAATCCATCCCTAAACACTCTGCGCCTGCGCCCGCCGTGACCATAACTCGCGAGTATTGCCGGGACACTGTCTATTGGGTAGCATATGATTGTTTCAGACTGCCGCACTGACTACAGCAGACCGCACTGACCGCAGCAGATTGCAGCTTACCGCACGGTCGCTGCATCCTTTCTAAAAGAAAAAAAACAACTGCAATTACCTTAAAACAAGGTGACGCCTAAGGAACATCATAAATTCTAACTCACTCTTTTCAATCAAATTTTAGCAATAGTCCCAGAGAAATTACGAAAATTCAACTCGCAAAAGTGCGATTATTATAAGCGAAATCAGAAACCACAATTTTGCTAGGCGTCATTCAAGGTATTTCGGTCGATCTCGCGGTAGTTCTTTCTATGCGAACATGCTCCGGCCTTTGCGGTCAGTGCGGTTAGTTGCAGTCTGCTGCACTCTGCTGCGGTCAGCTGACCCTAAGGTTGTTTCAAACCGCACTGACCGCAGCTGACTGCAGCTGACCGCACTGACAGCAGGCCGCACAGATCGCTGCATCCTTTCGTAAAGGTGGAGAGGATAAATAGTTGTATCCCAAATAGTCTCTTAGCAATGTATGCCTCAGAAGACATTATGAGCGAGAGTAAAACAGGTTCATGCAATGATAGGAGGAATCAGAACAAATATGAGCATACCAAACAAAAAGCAATCGCCAAAATTTGATTGAGAAGAGTAAGTTAGAACCTATAAAAATTCCTAGGCTTGAATCAAGGTGTTTTGACGTTTTCGCAATTGTTTTCTCTTTTACGAAAGGATGCAGCGATCTGCGCGGCCGTTGCGGTCAGTGCGGTCAGCTGCAGTCTGCTACAGTCTGTTGCGTCAGTGCAGTCAGCTGCAGTCAGCTGCGGTCAGTGCGGCATTTTGAAACAACCCATAGCGCCACAAGTGCAGACCTTTCTATTGCTGACATCGCTTTGCTGCGTCGCTGCGCAAATTCGCGTGCCTCCTGACTGTTCCTCTGGATGGACGCCTGGCGCTACTTCTTTCACAGACACTTGGCTAATCCAAACTAGGCCCTTCTTTTGACTGTGTTCCTGCTTATTCACAAGCAATGTCTTGAGATAAACTTGCGATTTTCAATTATTCCAGGAACAGCTGCGGTTTATCAATAAAATCACTTGGACAATTTCCGCATCCTAGTTTTTAGCTTTTTTGCTTACCTCCTTTCCTTTTGGAAGGACACTTGAAAGGGCGTGAACAGGATCTTCAGTTTGTGACGATATGCGCTCTCTACCTTAGAAGAAATCCACGAGAAGGGAGCCCTTCCTAGGGAGTAAGTAGTCTTTCATGCTCACTTAGATAATGTGACCGCTCGCTCGCTTGGCCATTGACCTGCTTGCCTTCATGTGTCATTGTTTTCTTGGTGATTAACTCAGATACTTTTCCGCGAATAACAAACGACAGCACCAAAGAATAAAACTATTTTGCAAGTATTTAGTATGGTTTGTATTCCAGACTTCTTCCCGATAGTGCCACGCCCGCCTTTCCTTTGCGAAGGTTTTAACGCGTCTTTTCCAGAGCATTCCAGACAAAATTGCTGCGTTGCAGTGATATTTGTGGGAAGATTTTAGGAGAAGGCTATACATCCAAGACTATGTCCTTGAAGGCACAAAAAAATTGAAGATATTGGAATCTGTAGAATAAAATGTCGTATAGATAATTAAGTATTGCATCGAGTACATGAAACCAATTCATGCTCAAAAAACGACACTTCCAGATAGCAGTGTCACCTTCTCAGTCTTCAGAATGACAATCATATTGAAATATCTCTATCTTCTCCGGGACTAGGGGACATGAACGTTTTGCAAGTTCCACAAGCTTGAGCTTGTTCTTCCTGATTGCAAGTGGTTAGTGATAATAATTGAGAAGTTGACAATAAAATCTTGTCAATCTGTTTGTGCATAGCCTCGAGTCTCCCACTCTGTCCGTTTTTCTCTTCCAATATTGTTGTGACCCGTATGAGGAGCTTTACACCATTTAAAGGCTTGAGGCATGAACTTGCAACTGGAATAAAAGGCTGTAAATACTGAGTTTTTGCTTAGGTCGCCGAAGACGGTCCCATGCGAATATTTGCAGCAGGCCGCGCGTCTTCGCTATCACTGCCTCATGCTATCTGTCCACGAGGGTGGAGCCTGATGGCGACCTAATGTCCTCTACCCGTCCCAGGACCAAGGCCAAGACGCGGAGCAGAAGCACACGTCATAATGTTACAAGAACTTTATTTTTTGTTCCTTTCCTCTTTCGAGAGCCTATTAGCAGAAGAGAAGCTCCGGTTACAGTCTGCTCCAATCGGGACCAGGCCGAACCGCCGGCGTAAATTTGCGCGCTCGCAGCGCTAACGGTCTGCGCTACATATGCGCGCTGTCGGAGAGAGCGAAAGGATTGAAGAGAGAGCAGCGAAGCAGGCCATGGGCGTGACCGCGAAACCCTAGCGGCGCAGACTGCCGCCATGCCCATTTTGGCCTGGTTGGGATTAGGGCAGACTGTAGATAGCGTTGGGCCAGAGGCTTGCTGGCAGGAAAAGCAATAAGTTACTTCATGGCCTAAAATAAAGTATACTGGATTAGTAGAAAAGTAGAGAAATATTATGCCTATTTGACTTTGATTGAAAAGATTCATTCCCTTATTTGCAGTAGTGTTTCATAAAAGTGACTACTGGTTGTCCCCTGAAGTATAAGGGCCAGTAAAGGAGGAGACATCGTCGAGGTTTCGGAAACGGTGTTAGTCGAGAAGTCAATCACGCCCTTCCTGATAAAGTTCTGAATAACTGAAGAGCAGTCCGCGAGATGCCACGAACATTGTAAGCTAGGATTCGTTGATTGGTCGTAGTAGGTTTTCATGACTTGAAGTCGTGTTGAACAGACAGGTCGTTGCTGGCACCCGTGTCGTTACTTGTTCATAAACTTTATCTGATTTTTCTCGATGGGCTATGATATACTACCGCAGATAGGTTCCGCATAAATTGTCAACAAGCCACCCTTACTCATGTTGCATACTTTGAGACAGCATGAAGAGTTCTTGCATCGTGGTTTCAAAGTGGTGCAAATCTATATAAGTTTTCGCATGAAAGTGCAAGTTGTCAGTATCGCTTCATTTAAGGTGCACGTGAGGGGTTTGTTGTTTCGGATGTCACTAAGAGCCTGAAAATAGGTTACTCTACATCATGACTTTGCTCAATATCTTCATCTCTCAAGGAAAATATCGAGGCTCTATCCTATTCATCTGCTTGAAAGAATCCTTGTCTGCTAAATTTTTTCAGACTATAGGAATGCAATTCCGCAAACTTTGTGCCCATAGTCCCCGGCGCACTTCGCGAACTTCATTTTCAACGCGGTTGTTTTACAGTTCTTTGTCATCGTCATCCGTTTCACCACAAAACTTTTTGTTTTGAACTCTGCAAACATAAATTGCAGTGTTGCTTGGACGGGCTCACTCGTCTTTACGTTTGCTAATTGTCACAATAGCTTCTACCATAATTATTGCTCTCAAGCCTTGTCGCCGCTAGAACATCAGATGGGTGCCTGGAACGGCTTTTCAACCTAAAACTGGAATAAGAAACATGCCGGAAAAAATCGACGGAGTTTTTTTACATAGGAACAAAAATGGTGGGGAATCGAAGGATGTACAGGATCCTCCTACGTTTTGCCGCCCCTCATACTAAAAATGGTGCCGCCTTGAGATTTTGCATATATTAGACTGATGGACTAAATGACTTCTGCGATCTTGTTTAACCAAGTGTAGTGCAAATGATGCTTTTATGAATTTGCGCAAACTTTTGAAAAGCCTCGTACGGGATTGTGGAACGAATACATTAATGGAAAACCTTACTATTTACCAAACCCATTGAGCCTTGATTCGCTGCGTGAAATGGAAAGCGGAATGGTACAACGTCACATCTCTTTGTAGGTCTTATAAAATGTTGCAGATCATTCGTATCCCCAAGACATTGGCTGTTTCCCCAAAAGTATTTGCACTGAATCGCGATCACGCACCTTCTAACAATGTGGAAATCAAGAAGAGTCAGACAATTTTGAAAGGCATAACTAAGCTGCATTCGTTCACGTCTTTTAATGTATTCTGTGGAGAGGTCAGACATGAGAAACTATTCTGAAGCTTGTGAGTAATGTTTGCTCTTATTATTAGATGTGGGTTGTTGCTTTGTGGCTATACGCACGAGTACGTTTGAGTATACCGTTACGTAATGTGACCGTCGACGAATCTGGAAGCAGGTCTTACATGGATAAAAACTACCTTTATGTAGTGTCATCATGACTAGGCCTTCTGGAAGCAATAGTAGTGGAATTTGTTGTTAATCTTCTTTTTAATTAGTGGGAAGCCAAATCAGGGCCATTGATTCATCCACAGTTTACTCCTTCACCCTAATTAGCGAGTGCAGACGCACCTATTTCTTCTTGCACTCGACCAGCCTGAACACAACAAAATATTTCGCATCCGATGAATCTACCTTGCTGCTCCTTGAATGAATTGTGTGAAAGGGCGATCATTCAGCGAGGCATAGTGATGGAGCCGAGTTGCTTGCTGGAAAAAATGAAAATAAGGCGTTTTATAACGATGTGAGGATTATCATTTTTCAGAAACAAGGAAATATGTAATTTCACAGTACGCAAAACCACTTTGAGCCAGGCTGTACAGCATGTCGCGTACGCCGCACAGGCTGGCCCAACTCTATGGCAACGGGCATAGTGCTCGCGATTTCTTCGCCGGGGAATTCGATGGTTTCAGCGACGAAATCGCGACGACGAAATCGCTCATCGCCGAAACGTGAGCATAGTACGGGTGATCCCAGGTCATTGCCAACAGTGCAACTAGATGCACGCAAAATATTCCAAGTAGGTTTTGTTTTCGTAAAATACTGTTTCTTCACTCTCAGCGTATACCCTTGCTCATGCCGATATGATGCAGAGATGCAGAAGATTTGCACAATTTGCCCATCTTTTAGTTTCTCAAGAGCTACTATTTTTAGGGAGTTTTCGTCTGCGAATGTTTTTGAAAGCTGACAGCAACAATAGGGACGCTCTTTACAGTTTTTTGACGGAACAAGCATCACAGAGAACCAAAAGCAAGAATGATGACGTGGGGTTCTGTAATTTGAGAAAAATTTAGAAGTACTTTTGAATAAAATAAAGCACAGCACTGTAGTAATAGTTAAAATCACAGAAAAAAAACTGCATCATTATCAAACACGGAAATTCTTACGCAATTATGTGGGTAACGGGACTCAAGAATACCCA